AACATGGGATGTTTTTCCCATTAGTTTTGGTTCTCTTCAATTTCTTTAAAATTTTTACTGTAGAAATAATTTCATCTCTTTGGTTAAATTTATTTCTAGGTATTTTATCTTTTGTAGCTATTATGAATAGGACTGCTTTCTTGATTTCTATTTCGGGTAATTCACTATTGGCATATAGCACATAGTGATGCATGTATGTATGTGTGTGTGTGTGTGTGTGTGTTGCTGGAGATTGAACCTAGGGCCTTGTGCATATGAGGCAAGCACTCTACCAACTGAGCTATATCCCCAGTCCCAATGCTAGTGATTTTATATGTTAATTTTATATCATGCAACTTCCCTGAATTCATTAATTTTAGTAGTTTTTGGTAGAGTCTTTGAGGTTTCTGTACAGGAGATTATGTCATCTGCAAATGGTGACAATTTGATTTCTTCTTATTCAATCTGGGTGCCCTGCATTTCCTTCTCTTTCCTAACTGCTCCAGCTAGGACTTCTAGCACTATCTTGAATAAAAATGTAAAAAAATGGGCATCCTTATCTTGTATCAGATCTCAGAGAGAAAGCTTTTCCCCATACAATATATTCACTGTTCGCTTAATATAAATGATCTTTATTTTGTTGAGGTATGTTCCTTATATATTTGTTCAGCATTTTTATTAGAAGGTATTAGAACGATGTTGAATTTTGTCAGATTCCTTTTCTCCCTCAATTGAGATAATGGTGTGGTTTTTGTCCTTCATTCTGTTGATGTGGTGTATCACTTTTCAGCCTTGCATCACTGGGATGAATCCTACTTGATTGTGCTAAATAATCTTTTAAATTTGCTATTGTATCTGGCTGGCAAAAATTCTGTTGAGGATTTTTTCAGTCTTTGTTCATCAAACTGCTCTGTAGTTTTCCTGTTTTTATTATGTCCTTATCTGTTTTTTGGCATCAGAGTAATGTCCTCTTAGAATGTGTTTGGAAGAGTTCCTTCCTGTTTTGGAATAGCTTAAGGAGATTCAGATTAAATGTTTGATAAATTCAGCAGTGAAGCCCTCTGGTCCTAGGATTTTCTTTGAATTACTAATAAACTTTCCATCAATCTCATTTGTTACTGGTCTGATTAGGTTTTCTATTCATGATTCTGTCTTGAGAAGGTGTGTGTCTACGAATTTGTTCATTTTTCCTAAATTATCAAACATGTTGGTACATACTTTATAACAATCTCTAATGATTTTTGTATTTCTATGGTGTCAGTTGTAATGCTTCCATTTCTATCTCTGATTTGACTCTTCTGTCCTCAGTCTAGCTAAGGCTTCTCTATTTCATATATTTTGAAGAACCAGTTCTTTGTTTCATTGATCTTTTGTATTGCTTTTTAGGCTTCATTTATTTCTGCTTTGATCATTACTGTTTCTTTCCTTTTAATAAGCTTTTAATTATTTTTCTAGTTCCATGAAATGCAGTGATAGGTTCTTTAAAATCTCTCCTTTTTTTGATGTGGGCGTTGATTGCTATAAACTTCCTTTTTGGTACTACTTTTGCTGTATCTGATTAGTTTGGGTATGTTGTGTCTCTATTTTGACTTTGAGAATTTTTAAAGTGGTGATGATGGTGGTGAAAGCCCAGAGGGGGCTTTCAGTTTCAAAGTGATGCTGGTTTTTGTTTTGGAGATGGGGGTGGTTACTGGGGACTAAACTCAGAGGCACGTGGCCACTGAACGATATCCCCAGATCTGTTCTGCATTTTATTTAGAGACAGGGTCTCACAGAGTTGCGTAGGGCCTTGCCATTGCTGAGGCCAGCTTTGAATTCCGGATTCTCATGTCTCAGCCTCCTGAGCCACTGAGATTACAGGCATATGCCACTGTGCCCAGGCCTCAAAGTGACCCTGTTTGAGCCAGTGGCAGATTGCAAGCTACTGGTGTCTGCCTTAAGAAAACTGTGAGTGTGTTGGGCATTTCATGTCAGGATCAACACAACAATGAGTGCTGCCAGGCAATCTCCCACACACAGGTGAATCATTCAGCCTCCCCAAGAAATGATCTTGGATCTAGCAATTTGGAGGCAGAAGAC